TATTTAAAAAGAAAAAATCCTTTATAAGTAGTATGCTTACTTTTTATGACTATTTGTTTTAACATTTTTATCATGCTTTTATATGCAGTGAAAAAATTATAACATAGTTTATAAATATAAAGAAATGATGAAATAGAAGTTCTTCTGCAATATAAGAAAGCTACCTGAGCTATTGTTGATTTGGCATCTGTGGCTTATGTTTTTCAGTGGTGTTGAGTTTAAAATTAATTTCATAAAAGTTCTGGAAATTGACATATTAACTCCTTTTATTTATTTTTGGTTTCTCCCTCCTTTTCTCTCTCTGTCTCTATAACAATACAGATGCACACTTTTATTCCAGATGTTGGTTAAAAACAACTTTAGATTCAAATCTTATTCAACTTGTTCAAGTTGAAGAGCGTTATTAGTTTTATAACAACCTTAGCAACAGTTGAGTGCCTATCAAAATTTTCCTGTCTCATTAAAATGTAAGACAGCTATTGCTGGCAAAGTTATACCAGTAATGTTTTGTGGTGAATGGTGTGTTGCAGAGGGAATCAACTGAAGTATATGAAAAGCCTCATGAGATTTAATTAGAACAACATGGTAGAGGACTCATCACTAGAGGGATAATAGTGTTTTAATCCCACTCAAAAATCAGAATAGGTTGGCTGTAGAAAAGGATTGTGAAGATTGAAATGTGGAGATAATATCTTAATGTTTTAAATAAGCAACATGTGCAGTGGACTTTTCTTTTAGGGTCAAGCATGCCACAATGACAGAAGCAGCACCATCATGCCATAGTGATGTGAGCCCTGCAGGTTTGTAAATGAAGTCTGCACTGTGGGCAACATACTGTGGGCACTGCAGTGTGGCCTACAAAAGCAACAAGATCTTGAAGATGCCTATGGCGTGTACTTGCCATTTGTAGCTTGGTTCTTAGGCACGTGCAATCCATTTGGAGGAGTGCTTGGCAAAGAATTGAAGTACTACATCCAGTTAAAAGCTCAGAACAGATAGATAAAGGATGCACCATATTGTCTGAGTACTTCTGAAATTATTATGAAGATGGAGCAATTAGAAACAGTGTGGTGCCCTTTGTTTTGAGGAATGGTTCAGAGGTGTACTTCAATCATTTTGTGAAGCAGGTTTCCAAAATGAATTGCCTATCCCTACTAGTAATAAAATTAATAAAGATATATAGTAATTTATATTCTGATTTGACAGTTAAGTAACTCTTTTTTTATTATTACTTACGTCAGAGCAAAAATACTTTAGGTGACTTATTTTTCAAATTCTTCCAAAATAATTATGAAAAGTATATTTGTATAGACTGTTTTCAATGCCCTCCTAGCAGGGCGTTTGCTTGTGTAGGGTGGGTATCTCAAGCTGCATGCTCTGTAGTTCATTCAAGTTGGAAGAACATGATCATTTTGTGTAACAAGGACCCATTTGTACATCTGCACACTCCCTTTCAGTAGTAACACAGAGCTAGAATTCTTCTCACACTGGCTGTGCTTCCAATAAATGGAGGGGTTGAGTAACTAGCATGCTGACTTAGACGTTCCTCCCTTCCTGTATTCTAAGAGTCAGTCTCTGTAAATTCCACCCTTCCTTCCTGACTTATAAGACCAATGACCGAAAAAGTTAAAAAGCTAAGGAGACACTGTGTATTTAGTTTACATTACATTGGGCAGCACTGTTCAATAAATTAGGCATTAACAAGTGAAGCTGCATACCTGTAAGTTATACATACTATGCTTAATAAACCAAGCTGATACCTGTGCTTTTGCTTGTTCAAATCAATAATACCTTTAAAACAATTATCTTACTAATAGACCATTGGGACTACATACCCAGTGACAAAAATAAGACAATATTAATGAAAAATCATTAATTTATTTATTTATTTGTCTATCAAACTTGATAACCCGCCAACTCCCTTATAGAAGGGCCCTATGGGTTATCTCTATAACCATCAGGTGAAAATCTATTTGAACTCAGAAGTTAACCGAAAGTACATCAGAACAGGCAGCTGACATTGTAGATCTGCCAAGTGAGAAAAGCAGGAACAAATGAGAAGTGAGGCATTCAGAGAAAGAAATGGTCACTCTTCATTTATTGAGAAAAATCTCAGTATTTGCAAAATTCCATTAAAAAAGATGGGCAAATACACAGGAATGGGAATGAAATCTGTAATATGAATTTATATATAGCCTTTATTGTCATTGTAGAAAATAAATACAATGAAATTGGTTAGGGATAAGAAAAAGAAAGGGGAGAAAGACTGCAAGTACTATTTCAGTTTCATTAAAGCTTTAGATATAGCCTAAGATTGAATGCCATACCATTTTATTTTCTGTCTTCCAAAGGGCATTTATTTTGGCAATCTTCATTTTTATTTTAACTTGTTCATTCGACACTGACTTGTTTGTGCAGCTGAAAAAAACCTGTACTGATATCAAATTGTGAGGCCGCTATTGTCAAAGTCAGATCGACTAAAACCCCAAGATGAAACCCCAATATTTTGTTTCCTTCATTGACTTACTTTATTTAAAGAAAAACTTAAATACGTTTTTCCTATTATGGGAGAATTAATAATTGGAGATATTCTGATAAGGGAAAATTGCATGAGGAAACATCCAGCACTGCATTTATGATCCATTTGAATGGGGAAAGGGCTAGAGATGTGAAGAAAACAAAAACAAAAATTTCAGGAGATTCACTTCAGCTACCCATTCTGCTGAAAATAGTGGAATGGGTTTGCTGTAGATTGGTTAAGGTGTGGAAGTAAGAATCAGGAAATCCATATTCAAATTTTTGTCAGCCTTGGAAGTTTATTGGCTAACTCTCCTCCCCTCAGATATGCTTGATATAGATTCAGGAAGATTCCATACCTGGAGAGACAATGCCCCTGGGACTCAGGAAGCAACAGAACATATGCTTCTTAGTGCTTCTTTCTACTACAGAGAATTCATACTAGTCTCACTCACCATTATTTCATAAATACCCAGGGTGCGTAGGATAATTATATACTTCCCTGCTACCTGCAGATATCAAACCTGCTACAACATACAGTATTGCCAGGTTGTGCACAGCAGCACTTAAAATCTGTCAGAAGATAACCTGTGCCATAAACGAGTTTTAATGAGCACTTTGTTTGTGATTTTAAAGTGCTCTGTATTGTGATATATTTAGTTTACCATGTTCCTCTATGCCAGAGCTGTCAAATTCGCGGCCCACAGGCTGGATGCATCACACACTGGCCACACCCACGCCCTGGTTAGCGAAGGGGAAAAAAGTCACCATGACGATGCAAGTTTGACACCTCTGCTCTATGCTCAACTACTGTTCCTGTCATTCCTCTTAGATTCTTTTTAGATTTTTAAAAATATTTTTAGGTTTACATTTAACATTGATGTCTAATTTTTTTTAATATAATTTTTTATTTTTGTGCTTTTTAATTTTTTTGTATCCTGCCCTCCTTATGTTACCCTCCTTCTTATTTTTTGACATTAAAAAGTTTTAGTTTTATTACTGATTAATTAAGCTTACTTGCTTTCTCTTAACTATACCTATCTTATACTTATATTTCACCGTGAAAATGAATGTATCTACTATGAGCTTCCGGAAGAAAGGAGAATATGTACTAAATAAATAATATTAATAAATATAGTCTTAATTAAATTAGGATAATACACTTATTATGCATTTATTTATTCTAATATTCTGCACTTATTGGACATACTGTATGACCAAATATTTTTTAATGGCTGGCTTTAAACCACTAGTTGCTGGAAGGGTAATTTGTGAGTGGGAATATTTAATTATATGGCGTGATTTAACCTTTTATAGTTTTGGTTTGAACTTTCCAGTTTTGTTAATATAATTCAGTTGTTGAAAATTTGTGCATTCTTCTAGAATCTTCTAGACTATAGTTTTGTTTAAAAAGCACTTTAGTATGAGATTTGTAAAGCAAATCTTTACAACTGAATTTTATCACAGCTTTATTTATATCCTTTTTGTTCATTTATTTCATAAAGTCAACCAACATGTGATGTGCTAGTTGAAAAATTAAACACCCCCAGTTCAGTTAGTTAATAAAAGGAATACCTGAGTCAATTGTGTGAATGCTTCATTAAATAATCAGGGCTGATTTGGGTAGGTCATTTCCTTATATATGATAAATCTTAAACTTTAGCTCTCACCATACAGATTTTAAAGGCATGCTGTGTCCCAGTCAAAACAAAATATTATTAAACCAGTCAGTTTGCTCTAGTGGTTAAGATGACAGGCTAGAAAGCCAGATAACGTGAATTTAAGTCCTGCTTTAGCCATGAAAGCCTGCTGGGTAACTTTGGACCAGTTACCCTCTCTCAGCCTAACCCACCTCAAGGAGAACTGACTAAAGATTACAGTAGATTTTTTTATATATTGTACCTAAATGTGTTTTTATTTTTATGCATTTCCCTATAGGTAATAAGTTCAATGAGCTCCCTTTCAGAGTATTGTTTACCTTCTATCCTGCGCACTTTGTTTGATTGGTATAAAAGACAAAATGGCATTGAAGATGAATCTCATGAATACAGACCAAGAACAAGCACAAAATCCAAAAGGTATGCACCTGGATAACTTTGACTACTGATTGCTACCTATGTTTTGTGATTATTTGTAAAAAAAACCCAACACCTGCCTCTGTGTAGAATTTAGCTTTAAAGGATTTGCTTCAGACAATATTTGTGGGTGTGTTAAAGGATTTGCTTCAGACAATAGTTTAAGGGTGCTTTCATTCTCCAGTCCTGTCAAAGCATCAGGAAGCTAGCTGTGGAATTCTCTTCACTCCTGTTCAATTTCTCCTGTTGAGAATAGACAGAGAACACCAATGCTTGAGCCAATGCTTCCTTAGAAGGGTGGAAAAAGAGTGCAGAAGTTGAAAATCAGTGGCCTGCACTCTGAGCTATAATCCTGTTGGTGGTTTGATTCAGCCAATTCGCACCACTTTGGGAGAACTGGTTGTTAACTTTCTGAGTAGTTTTGTGACTGGTTGTTGGAAGAAGTCATTAGGGCAAAGAAAAGGTTGTTAAATTATTTGAATCCAACCACTGCCTGTCGTGGGGTATGTTCCAAAGTTGTGTGATGACTCTTCCTAGTTGAAGAAATAAGCTATAGAAGGAAATGTAAATCCAATCATAGATGCCCACTTTGGCTTATTCCAGCAGACTAAACCATCATGCCATTTTTGGCACCATTAGAGAGGACTGTAAAGCACTGTGAAGCAGTATATATGTAAGTCTAAGTGCTATTGCAATTAGAACTGCTTGTTTCAGAGAGATTATTTGAATCCTGGACTGTGGTAGCCTGTTAGTAGAATGCATCCTTACATACATTCAATTGACACTGCATTTTATCTGCTGGTAAATATTGATGCCTATGTTTTATGTCAATTGCCTTACTGGTTGTATTTTTATATGAGATGTATAGAAATAGTGAGGCTTAGACATAGTTTAATAAGGAAAGAAATTTGAGAGAGAACCAACCAACAGAAACGCAATCTTTTAAATTGGGAAATAATAAAGAAAATGAAAGGAGTAGATATTGAAACATCCTTAAAAACTTGTCAGATGAATTTTTGACGTTTTTACTCCAAAATAGACTAATTAAAAACTGTTTAATGTTATACTTCATTGGTGTACAACAAGAAACTTTAATTATGTTTTCTCATTTTTTAAAGTGATGAGCAGCAACGAGACTATTTAATGGAAAGAAGAGATCTTGCTATTGATTTTATTTTTTCGTTAGTATTAATAGAAGTATTGAAACAGGTATGTCATTTTGAAATTTTTAATGTTTAATTTTAATGGTATATGTTTGTCACTCTTTTAGGGAAAGGTATGTAAGCCTTTCAAATAAAGAAAGAATAACGTTTTCTGATGTACTCAGGAGAGAATGAAATATGTTCCTGTTTAGGGTGTGCTTTCATTCTATTCTTCCACTTTTCTCCATCTCTTATCTGCTAGATTAGACTTCATTTTCTAAAAGAGGTTGAGTCATAGAAACTTTCTGTTTTTCCTGTATACGTAATGGGAAGAAAGAATTATATCTTAAATTCTAAATACATTTTCTAGAAGGAAAGCTTCATAATTTTAGCAAAATATATTTCTAAATGTAAGAGAGCAAGAGGTAAAGCAAATTAATTAAACTGATTCTGTTTAGTGGTTTACAGTTTGTTGCTGTGTTTCCTATTTTACATTTATAAGCACTTGTACAATAATTCTTAAAACTCAACATACCGCATGTCTGTCAGAATTAAGGAGTATTGCAGATATATCTGTTTGACATAATACCTGACGGTTATGATAAAGGGACCACATATTAAGTTTTTCATATACTGATAGCAGCAAGGATTATATTTGCAAAATACTGGAAAAATGAGACCACCCAGCCAGATGAGGATGTAATTCAAATTTTTTTAGATTGCACTGAAATGGACAGACTAATTTTAAAAATAAAAGATAAAGAAGACACAGAATATTACTTGATATGGAATACATTTTATGACTGGTTAGAGATAAGAGGTAGAAATTAGAAGAAGAAAGATTATAGCAATAGCAATAGCAGTTAGACTTATATACCACTTCATAGGGCTTTCAGCCTTATGAATGTATGTATTAAAAATAAAGATAATTTACAACTACAATCATGTCAGTATAGATAACAAAATTGTAAATAAGCTAATATAAAAAGATTCTCAGTTATAATTACTTAGTTATATTATTACTATTGTTATTAATACATGTGTTAATATTATTACTATCTTTTCTCTGTTCTTTCTTTTGTGTGTGTGTGTAAATGGTATACCCTGACAATACACTGTATTCAAAACGTTTATGAATAAAAATATTTGTAAAAAAGAATTAAGGAGTATTATCTTTTGAAGGAGAAAGCAGAAACATGTAATGATTGGCTATACATGCCATTAGTCATCCTCAAGTATGAATTTTGTTAACTGGCTGTTCATTTGTTTTTCAGATTCAGCTTCATCCTGTAATTGATGGTTTGGTACACGATGTTATTAATTTGGCTTTCAAGCACTTTAAATACAAAGAAGGGTAAGACCAAACTTACTTAAGTTTAGTAGTTAACACCTGGCAATATGATCTAGTTATGAGGTAACAATGTGAGAGTCTAAATTTTTAGAATAAGGGCCTCCTTTTAGAAGTCACTTCTAAACTTTTTACACAATTACACAATCAGTAACTGGATGTTGGATAGCCATTTTGTCTGAAACAGTATAGGCTTCCTGCCTAGGCAGGGGGTTGGACTAGAAGACCTCCAAGGTCCCTTCCAACTCTGCTATTGTATTTTATTATAGTAACTTCTGCCTTCCTTTAGGGAAGTTTGATATTAAGAGCTTAAGAGCCCCTTCATAAATTTACTATTTGTATAATAGTATACAAATAGATAGAGAATTCCTATATAATACTGTAATGCAGGCATACCATTCCCCCTATTTCCAATTAATTAGTTTTTATTGTAGGGACGGCTTACTCTTTTGCTAGTATAGTGATGAATCATAACAAGATTTGTCTGGCAAATCAAATATTTCATGTCTATTACTGACTCTCTAACTTTTTCATACCCTATGCTGGTGTATGACCATAATAAAGATTGCTTTTAATGACTTGTGAAATTATGTAGAATTAGATTTTAATGGGGTTTTCTTTATATACTAAGCCAGATTTCAACACTATGGAGATAATGGTCTTTATATACTAAGCCAGGTTCAGACTTACAGCTAAACCATAAACCACTACATTTGTGTACTCAACTACACAAAATCAAAACCCAATATGTGTAAACGGAGCCTAAGTGTGTATGTCCATTCAGAAATGATAGAAATACCTAAAGATTATTAGTCATATGAAGCTAAACCTACAGTGACATTTATTTATGAATGTTTTAAAAGTCTGTATTTTCTTAACTTTAAACAGGTACCTAGGTCCCAACACTGGAAATATGCACATTGTTGCAGATCTCTATGCTGAGGTAATAGGGGTACTAGCACAAGCAAAGTAAGTATATTTAAGTAATCAAAATATTAGATAGGTTTTACACAGAAAGCCAGATTATTCAGTGAAAAGTTTTCTCTCTTCTGTGTATGTTAGTGTGTCAGTCAGTTTGTGTATATGTATGCATGTGAACATTCATATTTCCAACCTTTGTAAGAATAGATCCTTTCCCTTCACAAATGCAATGCTTTTGATGTAGAGAGCTATCTGATCTCCGAAGGTAGTTTCTTCAGCTAGTTAAACAATTCTAAAAGTTGGAATCTTCTTCCATCGATACCATCTTTGGAAGCTCAAGAGCAGGAGTTAAGTGCAGTGTTTCCTCAGAATAATCTTCCAGGAGTGCCAAAATGATAATTGATTGAAGTCACCTTTAGGTTTTTTAAATGCCCTTAATAATGCACATTCTATCTTATGGATTGCAGGGGAGAAGTAGGCTGATCCAATCAGAGAGATGAACTAATTCTTTGAAAAGTTGAAAAGTTTGAAACAAGCATAATCATAATTTATTTTTGTTTTGTCTGTTTTTAGATTTCCAGCTGTGAAAAAGAAATTTATGGCAGAATTAAAAGAGCTGCGGCATAAGGAGCAGAATCCTTACATGGTTCAAAGCATTATCAGTCTAATCATGGGGATGAAATTCTTCCGTATTAAAATGTACCCTGTGGAAGATTTTGAAGCTTCCCTTCAGTTTATGCAGGTAGCAAAGTTCCATATCAGGAGGAAGTTGTCCTTTTCTTATACAAAGGAACCTCAGTCCTTTATAATGCTTGTTTAGTAACTAATGTCAGGAACATGTGGTTTTTATTTCATAGGACATATAGTAATGAAAACTGGAAAATAAAATATGCCTATCACAATAACTGAAAAACTATTTTCATTTGATTGCTCATAATGTTTGCTTAATATTTTTCTATTTGGCAGATTATTATTCTCTGTTATTTTGTTGTATTTAATTTGGAGTAAGACCTTCAAATACAATGGGAGCTCCTTTGGCTAAACATACATAAATTTGCACTGCCTTTTGAATCAGACTCAAGTAAAATGAAGGCAAAAATGTTGCATATTTAACAAAGTAGTAGCTTTGTCAAAAATACAAGTATTCTTGCTTATTTATGAAACTTTATTTTCTATTTTTGTTTATTCCAGGAATGTGCACATTATTTTCTTGAAGTTAAAGACAAAGATATCAAACATGCATTAGCAGGCTTGTTTGTTGAAATTCTTGTCCCAGTAGCTGCTGTAAGTTCTTGTTTGTTTACTAACCCGTCACCCATCAACCAAGGCCCTGGCTAGTACACATAGTATCCAACAGGTAGTAATAAGTTAAAATACATAAAACTATAGTCTGATGTTAAAGCAGAATTAAAGTAGCATTTTTACCAAAGTTAAATTAATAACAAAAAGTTAACAGCAGTTCTTATATTGCCCTGGGAATTTGACTTTGGGCTTCCACAGCGAAAGTTTGACCCCAAATAGCAAATAGGCAGACCAGCTTCTGGTGGTTTATGTTAATAAATGATGGGAATTTTATAATAAGAAGTATTCTGCCAGTGTCCTGGGCCCAAGAGCTTTAAAGGTAGTAAATGACATGTTTCAATATATCTAGAAACAAATAAACAGCCTATGTTAACATTTCAAAATTAGCATAGTGTGCTCTGTACCGGCAGCAATATTTTGTACCAATAGAAATTTCTGAATAAAACAAGAGTAGCCAAAAAAAGGATGCAAAACAGAAATGGTTGGGGGCTAAAAGTATATCTACAGTTGTGTTAGATTATTATTATTTAAGATATGATGAAGGTAACAGGTTGGATTTCACTTCAAGGTTCAGGGTAAAATTCAGATCAAGAACTCCCAAGCTGCATATTGTGTTTAATCTTTCTATTTCATCTTGGACAGATAGTAGATCTATCAGAGTTGCTAGAATTATGATTCCCCACAGTGCCTTTCCTTGATTCTGCTTAAGTTTATTTTCCCTTGTTCAGCTGATGACTGTCTGTAGGCAGCATTCTCTTCTATATGAGTGTCCAAGCTGTACCTATTAGAAAATCTGAACTTAATTTTATTTTATTCTTTCTCTTCAGGCTGTTAAAAATGAAGTGAACGTTCCCTGTCTGAGGAACTTTGTTGAAAGTCTCTATGATACAACACTCGAACTATCTTCACGAAAGAAGCATTCACTGGTTAGTAATCCTTAATAAACAAGCCAATATGACTTCTGTTAAAATAATAGTTTTATTTCTTGTTTCTAAGTATAATTATACTTTGCAAGACATTTCATTTTGAAAAGCTATAGAAGAGATGAAGATATGATGCACTGGATCTTAACATTTCCTTCTTTCATTTGATTATATTACGTTTATGGGTTAATTATTCCCAAGCATTGGGTTTCTATAAATACCTTTAATATTCTAAGTACAGGTACAGGACCTGGTTAGGGATGGAGAGAAGCTTCTGCATTCATTAATGGCTCAATAAATGTTGGGCAGCAGTGGTAAATGTTAGCACTGTTCCAATTTTATTTATATTGCTAAGATTAACTTCATTTTTTTAAAATAGTTGTTAAAATGTATCAATGAAACTTGCAAATATGAATATATTATGAGTCATTGCAAGAAAATAATTTTGCTGAATGTGAAGAAAGTAAACACTTTTAAGTCTTACTGACATCATTTGGAAAGATTTAGACACATGGTTCTCTAACTAGATCATGTCCATTGGCTAGATCAATTGAAAGTGAATGGGACTTTAAGAAAATTAAAGGTATTTTATAATATTTCAATTTACAGTTTAAGTTAAAAGTAGTAGATTTAGTTTTACAATTTACATCAGAATCAGAGGAACACACAATATTATAAGTACCATAGAGCAGCAATCTTCCAGTGATTTCCAGGCAAAACAGAAATGTTTTCTACTAAATTATTACTATGAGACCCTAACCTAGGCATAAGGATAATTGACCTCTATTATTGGGTAGTAGTGAAGACACGATATCATCTGACCTCAACTAATTTTATTTCTGTTCTGTAATTTATATTTTAAAGGGTTTTTTAGATCAATGATTTTGATAATAATGATGAAAGATTGTGATTTAAATAGTTCATTTAATACTGAGAGTGTTAAACTCCTACAGAATGTAGTGGACATTTTCCAGAATACATATAAATCATACTTTGTTTCTCTAGCTTTTAAGCAAAACAAAAGGGGGAAAGGGAAGAAAAAACCCATTAAACTGAAAGTGCAAGGTAGAACATTTGGAAGAGGACAAAAAGTTGGACAAAAAAACTACCCAAATATGCATTTTGGATCATCTAGCATTTCCCTTTGTACTTGACCTGTGAATTGTGGAATCTTTTATTTTTTATTACAATATTTTATTTGAAAAGGAAACTTTAAGAATATTTTTAACTAAAAATAATATAGTTGAAGTGTTGTAGGAAAGTTAGAAATTTATGTGACCTTATAAGGGACAAGCCATTTCTCTAGGCTATTTCCAGTAATAGAGCCAAATAAAATACAATTCTAAGAAAAAAACATTTATTTAGTGGTTCATTATTATATAAAATGGGATGAAAAAAATACCAGTTGTTTGAAGAAGAACTCTAACTGCTTTTATGTCACTACCATGAATGTGTTTGTTAATTGAGCCATTAAAGCAGAGGGCTACATTAGTCTATACAAATGGTCTATTCTGTGGGAATTCTAATAGCTTCATGACAGCAGATTCTTAACATCCAACAAATCTAACTGGTACAATAATTTACATCTTATTACAATTTATCCTTGGAATGTTACATCATTCTGCACTCTATTGCTGCGTAATGTTGGACCACATTTCAAGTGTTCTGGATAGCGCTGGATAGAAGTATTTTATTATTTAATTGTAAACATATTCCTACTTTTATACAGAATGATCACAAAAAACATATTAATTAAGGTTTTAAAAATTGTAAGAGTTATTTTTTATTTAAAAAATATTGTTTGAATTCTGAATTCTATAATCATTGTTTATATTGGCAGATGCATTTAATATAAGTCAGGAGAGAGGTGGAACTCTAAAGTTTAGTGTGGATGTAATCTCTAATATTTACTGTGGACCTGTTGATAAATTAGATGTCTCCTTTGTTATCATTCAAATAATCTTGTATTTCTTTTGTCTCTTATTTAGGCTTTGTATCCTCTAGTAACATGCCTGCTTTGTGTCAGTCAAAAACAGTTCTTTCTAAATAGATGGCATATTTTTCTCAACAACTGCCTGTCCAATCTCAAAGTTAGTACATCATTTTTTGTTGGCTTTGTAATTAGCTCTGGGTATATGTGTCATGAATCTGCCAATACTACCTGTGCAATCTTATATTCTTAATTTAGTGGCTTCCTTGCAAATCAATGCATGGTTTCCCATATCTCTACTAGTTATAAAATACACATAGCATACTGACTCAGTCAGAATGCATTTATATGATGTAGAACCTCTGTCATAATTAAATACCTTTAAAATAAAATAGAACTAGTGCTTGCAAGTACATTTGTAAATGTAATAAGATTATTATTTTTAAAATAATAAAGTCCACATCTTACATTTAACAAGATGATGAAGAATTAATTATAGTTGTTCTCTCTGGTAGATTGAACTGCTTAAAAATACAAATACTAAACAATAAAACAGTTACAAACATACAACCTTCAGGCAGTCCAGACTAAATATATGGTTATTAAAAAGAGAATATAATTATTTTCTTTAACATCTACTTAATATAATTGTTAAGAATACTTAATATAATTCTTAAAAATAAAGGGATGACAATCTTTGTACTTTGAAAGATAAAAAAAGTAAGTCGGACCTACAAAAAATATTGCAATGTAAACGTTCTTGTATCTTCCTCTCAGCCAGGAATATGTTATTTGAATAAACTTCATTTGATTGTCCCTCCAATTCATGCTGGGGTTTGCATAGTCCTAAACATATCCCCAGATTAATCTTTTTTAAACAAAGTTTTTCTTTTACGAAAACTTGTCTGCCGATACTACTCCTTGTTTTTCAGAATCACTATTTTAGTTAGAAGACCACCATAAACATTCCAGATATCCCTACTGGTATATTTGAAAACAGAAAAGGTCATATAAGGTGACTGGTGAGTTTTTAACTCACTCTTTCTCCTTTTATTTCATAAATATTTACATGCTGTTTGGATGGCTAATCTCTCCAGCTCTATTAACTGAAATATGGCTTTTAATCACAAATAGAGTTATGATTGGTGAGAAAAAATTTTTTAACAGCCAAGTTTATTATCTTCTCAAGTTTAGCTGGATAAAACACCATTGCTTTAAAACTGTCAGTTGCTTTACTTTAAATAATAACTTTTTCCTATTTCGAAATCTTGCTACCAATTCTTTTGTGTCCTACTGCATAAATAGTATATGAATGTGTTATTCACTGAATTATATTTAAAATTATTATTCACTGAAAAGTTGACTCGTTTTGCTTAGATTCAATTTGAGTATTTCTGTGGTATTTCTACAAAGGATAGTTGGTTACAAAGCTAAATAGTTGCATTGTTTTTAATTAGCAAAATGTAAAGGAGACTAACAGATCCTTAGCAGAACTTCTGTGGTGTCATGGAACATTTATTGAATCACAGAGTTAAGAACTGTTTAGGCCTCAGTTCCAATTCCTGCTCAATGCAGGAATCCAAATGAAAGCATCCCCAACAGATGATTTTCTAACGTCTGCTTAAATACATGCAGTGAAGGAGAACCCAGGTTCAGATAACTGGTTGAACATAATTACAATGAAATCTTCTCTCAACTGGACTCCACATTCTCCCCCGCATCCATGAAAGAGCATTTTAGAGCCTCTATGAAAGAGCAAGAACATGTCTTGTATTTCAACCAGTATTTTATTATATTACTTCTTCAACTTCTCTTCTGAAAATTAAACATGCTTAGTTCTTTCATCTTTCATCATACAACTTTGTTCCTTGTTTCCTTTCCCCAAACTTTTTCCAGTTTCTCTTTCTTTCAAGTGTGTTATCTGGGCACACTTAGGGTGAAGTCTGATTAATCTATCATAGTTGCATATAATAACATCATAACATGATACAAAATATAGTGCAATTTATTATTCTCTTAATGCATTTTACTAAATCATATGGTTCAATGAAATGCAATAGCTTGAGTTCATACAATACATTAGGCTATAAACCTTGGCTTACAAATAACAATTGCTAGGTTCATAGGTTCTATGCTAAAACAAAATCAAAACATTTTATTATGATTTAGCAAGTTCAATAAACCCAGCCTGTGTAATTTGCAAAATCAAGTAATTTTTTTTTTGGCTTTTTGTTGGCACTATCTCACACTTCATGACCATTGTGATCTACTATTTGTAATGTGCACCCTCTAGTTAATGTTATAAAACTGTATATAAAAATATTATGAAACATAAAAGCTGACAGAGTGGATAAATTACTTTGTAAAAGGTAGAGCCCATTTTCTTTGTTAAAACCATTTCAATTAAACATGCAGTAAATAATAAGAGTTTCTTTTACGTGTCATTTTAAAGTGATGTTTTGAATGTTAACATTGACTTTTATGTAAAAGTCATATACCAGTTATATGCTTGAGATATGAAATATTCCCATCTTGCCATTTTTAAAAAAAAAATCTGTCTTCAAGTCAGTTTGCTCAGCTGGCTTTAAAAGGACACTCCAGCTGTTGTGTTTGTGTAGCAGATTATTTGGCTTCTAGCGTGCTTTAGAATTACAGTAGATGCTTGACTTCGATGACAAAACAAAGCTGAAGACATATCTTATCCATTCAAAACTTAAAAGTCATCACCAATAAGAATATTTCTGATTCCAAAAGCTGATAAGTCTTCTGCACTTTTAAGATTTATAGACAAGACATGTTCAATGTACCCATTGCTATAGTGAAAAAAAAGGGTTCTTTCTCAAATCTGTTGAATTCAAGCATATATTTTTCGGAGTATAAGACGCACCGGAATATAAAACGCACCAAGATTTTGAAGAGGCAAATTTTAAAAAAGTTTTTGCACTGCAGACCTCCCCAAAATGGCCCATTTTGTGCAAAAACGGGTCCATTTTTCATTTTAAAAAAAAGCGCATGCATAGCCTTTAGGAGGCTTATAGAGTGCTCCTGAGGGCTGGAAGGGCAAAAACGAGCAAAAAATGGCCCATTTGTCACTCATTTCTGCCTTCCCCAGCCCCAGGAGCACTCTGGAAGCCGCCTAAAGGCTATGCATGGCCATTTTGGTGAAGGGGGCAGGGTTTTGGGAAGCCAAAAATGCTGCATTCAGTGTATAAGACACACCCAGATTTTTACCCTCTTTTTTGAGGGAAAAAGGTGCATCTTACACTCCAAAAAATGCAGTATATTTCATCTAGAAGCATCATAATTTTAAATATCTTAAATGTTTGCTCTCTATTTCGCTCTCTCTTACAGAGACAGATATCCATGCATTACTTTTCTAAAATTTAATTGATATGAAAGAAGCACATGTATTGTTTATTGTTTATGTTATATTTCTATCTTTCCCTCTGTGATAATAGCATTATTTTACTTATCATCCAAATTTTAGCAATTCTCCAAGTTTATAATTTATAGTTGCAGCCTTACAATTTGTCAGCATTCATAATATTACTTTCTTTTCATTGTGTTTCCGCTTGTACTCAAACATTTACAGCCTTAGCTGTAAATTTCAGTTTTCATTACCATACATTTTTAATATATAATACATATATTATAATCCATTCTATACCATACATTTTGATCCTTTATTTCATTATCTTACTTTTTCTTTTGTGCATGTATATTTCTCATCTGCACAAAATTACTTCATTCAGATCTGTTACATACTTCTCATTTTTCTCAATTCCACAAAAATGCAGCATGCTGTATCTAATTCTTTCTCTCTAATATAATTACTTAGCTCAGATTGTTCATGCCCTGAGAACGCAGCCCAAATACTTTGGCTGTCATATCATTCTTGGCATAAAATCTACTATCTAATTTTTTCTCCTTTTCTTCCAGGAACAAAAACAAGGCCATAATCCATATTTTGTAGATTTGTCAGTCTTAATAGTTCTCATAGGTCTATTACAAATAAAATGCCCTTTTTCAGGTTCCATGAATAAAAATGTAGGTGCCTTAAGATTTAGCCACTATACTCTGTTTCCCCAAAAATAAGACCTCCCTGGATAATTAGCCCAATCAGACTTTTGAGTGCACATGCTAAAATAAGCCACCACCCCCCAAAAAGCCCTCCCCTAAAATATTTAAACACATGTGCAGCATAGAGTTTCATATATGCGTTTCTGGAGAGGAAAAGGGGGGACATGCCTCACGGGCCCCACATGCACCTGCCATCCATGCGGAATGGCCTTGAGGAGATCGCTCCCACAAACCCTAGCTATCTTGCCCTTCTATTAGTGACAGCCACAAAAAGAGGGGTAGGCCCAGTGACACTATGGCAATAGCAATAGCAATTAGACTTATATACCGCTTCATAGGGCTTTCAGCCCTCTCTAAGCGGTTTACAGAGTCAGCATATCGCCCCCACAGTCTGGGTCCTCATTTCACCCACCTCGGAAGGATGGAAGGCTGAGTCAACCTTGAGCCGGTGAGATTAGAACCGCTGAACTGCAGATAATAGTCAGCTGAAGTGGCCTGCAGTACTGCACCCTAACCACTGCGCCACCTTGGCTCTTGGCTGGCAAGAGTGTGCCAGAAACAGAGACAGAACTTCCGGCCCTCTCTGTTCCATGGGCTGCGGGCTTCAATTAAGGGCCTCCTGTATCTCCGAAATAATGACCTTCCTGAAAATAAGGCCAAGCACTTATTTTGCGGGTCAAAAGAAAATAAGACTCGGGGAAAGACAGTGTGAAATATAAATCAAGATTACAGTATTTTCATGATTTATTTTTTTTAGAACAAAGATCCAAAAATGGCTCGAGTTGCACTGGAATCTCTCTACAGACTGCTATGGGTTTATATGATTAGAATCAAATGTGAAAGCAATACAACTACCCAAAGGTATTGTTATATATTTATTTTTAATTTCAATATAATTTCTACCTTCAGAATAATCCAAGGATATAATTAGTGCCATATAATGCAAAGGAAGAGATAAAATATCTTAGTACATTTATATTCTGGGCATATTTGTGGGTTATAGTTTGGTAAATACACATTTATATTATGGAATTATCCTTTTATTTAACCGCATTTGCTGTGCTGTCAGTATTACAGTATGTTCGTGACACAGGAAATCTCTTCTTGACTCCATTTTAGCAAATTTTAGAATGTACTAGGCAGAACGACATGCTGTCTTTTAATCTAGATAATTTAAAGATGATTAGGGGACTGGAGACTAAAACATATGAAGAACAGTTGCAGGAACTGCAACTGGTATGTCTAGTTTAATGAAAAGAAGGACTAGGGGAGACATGATAGCAGTGTTCCAATATCTCAGGGGTTGCCACAAAGAAGAGGGAGTTATTCTCCAAAGAACCTGAGGGCAGAACAAGAAGCAATGAGTGGAAACTAATCAAGAAGAGAAGCAACTTAGAACTGAGAAGAAATTTCCTAAGAGTTGGAACAATTAATCAGTTTGCCTCCAGAGGTGGTGAATGCTCCAACACTGGAAGAAGATGTTGGATAGCCATTTGTATAGGGTTTCTTGCCTAGGCAGGGGGGTGGACTAGAAGACCTCCAAGGTCCCTTCCAACTCTGCTATTGTATTGTAATCTGGAACAAAATATTTGTCCATTAGCATTTTTCCTGTAGGATTTTTCTAAATTATTTTCAAAAGTTTTATTAAAGTAGCATAAAGATATATTGCAAGAAATAAACTTGTCCCAATGTTTGTTTTTTAAATTTTACAGTCGGCTTATAACAATCATCACAACCCTTTTTCCAAAAGGTTCCCGAGGTGTGGTACCGCGAGACATGCCTCTGAACATTTTTGTGAAAATTATACAGTTTATTGCACAGGTTTGAAAAACTTTTATGCTTTTTAAATGATGGAATGTTTTATTGATAAGTTTTACATTGTGTTTTCTGTACTTTACATGTCTGAGTTTTGCTTCTTTAGTTATAACATGCTTAAATAGTCAGTTTCAGCTTTCAGTTGGATGAATTATAGAAAAGTCTCACTTTGAAAACTGCAGTAAATTCTGGTAATGGATTGAATATGTCTCAATTATATCATCTCACATCTATCAGGATAAGGTATTTAAGTTCTACATAGGATGCATTACAATTAGGCTGCTTTCTTCTGCTTTACAATTTCCTAGATAAGCAGCAATCTCCATTCATTGCTTATGCAGAAAGTCTTGTTATAAATATGATCTTGTTAAAATAAGTTGGAATTCTATGTTGATTTAACTCTGATCATTCCACTCAGATTTACATTAGAGATGCAACAAATGTTATTGTATGTTCATGTGCAATATATATTTTGCTACAGGAACGTTTGGATTTTGCAATGAAAGAAATCATTTTTGATTTCCTTTGTGTTGGAAAACCAGCAAAAGCATTTAGTCTAAATCCAGAGGTAAGGTATTATTATTATTAATATTTTTCCTAATTTTTTTAAAAAGTATAATATGTTTTTAAGAGAAAAGCAAAGAAAGTGGATCAGTGTTATCTGGTGCTCTTTATTTTGGCATAAGGGATCAATTCTCATCTGTATCATTCATCAAGTCCTTAATTGCTCTTTAACACTACCTAAGCACATGTTTTTATAGTGCTCTAGATCAGTGTTTTTCAACCTTTTTTGTGCAAAGGCACACTTGTTTCATGAAAAAAATAACGAGGCACACCACCATTAGAAAATGTTAAAAAATTTTAACTCTGTGCCTATATTGACCATATATAAAGTAATTCTCCCACGGCACACCTTACATTATGTCACGGCACACTAGTGTGCCGCGGCACAGTGGTTGAAAAACACTGCTCTAGATACATAGAAAAATTCCATGTAGTTCGTAAAAATGTATTTTATAAATTTACATGACTCCCCATCATAAACAGATAATTTGGGATGGCTATTGGTGGATATACCAATAAAAACAGTTTAAATACAATTAAAAGCAGATATAATAAATAACAAAATGCAAAAGCTGAGGAATTTCACACATTATTCTTAATCACAGACTTGCCTATGTGTGTAAGCCTCTGAAATCACCTCAGCCTTAACACATGAGGCAGCAATGGGTTTTTGCAACCTTCCAATAAACGAACAGGATTGGGGCTATCCAGACCTCCATGAGAGACTGTTCCATAGGGTAGACATTTCAGTAGAGAAGGCTTGTCTCCTTGATTATGTTGTATTGAGAAAACTAGGGGAAAAGCAACAGTTTGGCCTATTAGCTAATTGTAGCATATTTTTAAATATTATTCAAATATTATGTATCTATTATACTTCTAGTTTCTTGAGTAACTAGTTGGAAACCTAAAATTACTGATGCCACCCCACTATTTCACACAACCATTGTCATGTTACTGTAGTCTCATTAGTCCTCTTTAATTCTTACTGGAATCTAAATTCACATGTGGAATGTGTTCTTTGGAATCTTTTGGAGATACTGCATTGATCTCCAGCTATTTTCAGTGTAATCTCTTCAGGTCAGGTGAGAGTAAAGAATGCATCAGTGCTAACCACATGATTGTTATTTTACTTTCATCACCCATCCATCAAATTTGCAGAGAATGAATATTGGTCTGAGAGCTTTCTTGGTCATTGCGGATAGCTTGCAGCAAAAAGATGGAGAGCCTCCAATGCCTGTTACTGGAGCTGTACTTCCTTCAGGAAACACCCTACGAGTGAAGAAAACTTACTTGAGCAAAACTCTCACAGAAGAGGAAGCTAAAATGATAGGCAAGTATCAGACATGTCTTTTGCCTGTTCACAAATGTGTATGACAGCTTGACCCAAATTTTACCCACATTGCTAGCCCTGAGACTTCATTTCACTATTGAACTGAGTATATCCAAATTTTTGGGGGGGAGAACGCAGATTGTGGGAAGTTGAATCACAGTTTGGTTGCCTGGGGACAATTTCTAGTTGCCAGGAGCAACCAAAAATTATGCAAATACTATAGTGACAGAATGTATAATCCATTTATTATGGTGTACTGTTTATTTATTTATTTTTGTATTAAATTTTCCCAGAATTTAACTCTAGCAGAATAGGACTAGTAATTATTAATCTATATAATCAAAATAGGAATCACATGGAAAAACTGTTCATAATGTGATATTCACATTGTTAATATTAAGTTATAACTACTGGGGAAAAATAAAGCGGTATTCTAAAAGAAAGATTTGTCAATGGCCATTTGTTAGACTAGTTGTAGTGTCAGTCATTTGCTAGTATTTGTCTTGAATATAAATACAAGAAAAGGATAGTTATAAATCCATTATCTCATTACAGCATGCTGATAGAAATTCCACTTTTAAGTTTATGGGCATTATTAAAGAGATGATCATGCACCAGCCCATAAGTTTGGTTCAATATTGCTGTTAGAAATGTTTTCCTATTTAGAGCTTATTGAACAATCAGTTGAGACAACTAATCCTAAAAGTCCTCAAAAGTCCCATGCTTACTCATATAATACAAAGCAAAGCAATGTTTCTCTAAGAATCTTATATGATTCTATTTAGAGTTTTATAATTTAAAAAAAGCTTAGGGTATACAGCTCTTTGTTCTAAATTTGAACACCTGTCTGTGTATCACTATATGTTTAGCTTATAAGTTAATGGTATTGATACTATCCTAAATGCCATAGTTTGGGAAAATCTATGGGGAGACCGGAAAATCCAATTTTTCTACCAGAACTCTTGGATTCAGCTGTCCCAATGCAATTATTCTAATATCAAAAAAAATATCAAGGAATTCATGAGATAGATTTAAGTAAGCAAAATCATACTCCCAGTACCTGAAATATTCTTTTTAAAAGAAAAGCTTTATTGTAACTTTCTAGTCTGCCTAAGAATCACATAAGGAGCTATTGCTTTAGCACCCTCATTTTAATATAATGTCACCAGATACTAATGTCATTATCTGCATGTACTATAAGTTCCTTTTCTGCATTTCACTTACCTATCAGGGAATGTCTTTTTTTTAATTTATATTTTCTTTATTTGGTTCATTAATATTCAAGTCCAAAGTAAATTGTCAGGTAGAACATCTTTTATTACAAATCAAAATAATCAATTGTTAATGATAACACCTAAAATGCATATGTTTATAATTTTTTCTGAAATTTTAGATATATATTTGAAGGCTTCTTTAAGGGTATACAGCTAGCTAATTGTTCTAAATTTAAACATCTACCTTTGTATGAGTCATGGTGGCGCAGTAAGTATTTAGTAGTTAGGGTGCAGTATTGTAGGCGACTTCTGCCTGCAATTTTGGCAGTTCAAATCTCACCAGGCTCAAGGATGACTCAGCCTTCCATCCTTCTGAGGTGGGTAAAATGAGGACCCAAATTGTTGGGGGCAATATGCTGACTCTGTAAACTGCTTAGAGAGGGCTGTAAAGCGGTACATAAATCTAAGTACTATTGCTATTGTATGTTTTTCTAGGCATGTCAATGTATTATTCTCAAGTAAGAAAAGCTGTAGACAACATACTGCGACATCTTGATAAAGAAGTTGGGCGGTGCATGATGCTCACAAATATACAAATGTTAAACAAAGAACCTGAAGATATGATTACGTAAGTCTTAAATGATAATTGATATTGAGCTAGATTTATTATAGCTAATGCTTTTTTTTTTTTAAGGCAAAACCTTATCTATTCAGGGAGACTTCTGGGAGTTGTGGTCCACACATCTTCAAGCTGCCAATATTGAGAAACATAGACAATAAATTCCAGAATTGTAGTTAATCATACCCTTTCTTTATGATACTTTAAAAACAGTAGTGGAATTAGTATCTCCTTTGTGATCCTGCAAAATTACTTTTTTTCATCATACCTCTGATTTAGATCTTATTTGTGTTTTGGGACAAATTTGACCTTCGCAATAGAATGGTGCCACAATGCTTTTTCTAGACTGTATTGATTTATAAATAATTACTGCCATTTTGGGGAGAATGATTAATAAGAGATATATATTATTTTACTATTGTATATATCGGGCACCCCGTGGGCTGGATGCATCACGGGCAGGCAATGCCCACCCAAGCTCCACAAAGGGGAAAACATCACGAAACTTCACATGATGGCAACATGACATCACAAGTTTAATACCCGTGGTTTATATATTTCTTTCCTCTGGTATGAAAAAGTGATTAATAAATTTCATATTCTTTTCAGAGGTGAAAGAAAACCAAAAATTGACCTTTTCAGGACTTGTGTTGCTGCTATTCCACGACTCCTTCCTGATGGGATGTCTAAATTAGAGCTGATTGACTTGCTATCAAGGTAAATTGTATACATATTAAAGAATTTTTAGAGGCAAAAATGACATTGCTGATCAACCTATGGAGCTATAATAGGATTCTGTTGCATCTTGGAATGTAGCATCCTTGGAAGAAGCATTGGAAAATGTTTTGTGTGCATATAGGACCTGCTGGCAATTCCATAAATCACTTTTTTTTTTAATCTCACTGTAACTGCTGAAGCCAACCATGCCTTCCTGAGAAAAGATACAGCTGCTCTAAGGGATTATGAAGAGCTAGCAATCGGCTTAGGCTTCTGTGTGAAAATAACAAAACACACAAAAAAAATTGTGTTCCAATTTCTAAAATTTACCCTTACTGATTAACCCACCTCACATCTAAGTAACCTTACAAGCATAACAATATTCGGTTTAAATCTGAGATTTTAATATTACTCAATGTATGGGGCTTTCGGTAGCCAAGCAAAATTATTGCTAAATTTAAAACATAGAATTGAACCCATCAAACAGGCTTCAAGTGTCTACCCACATAAATTTGCCAGTTTAAGGTTCAGATCACCCTCTTATTTACCAGTATCACCATTCCCTGTATTTCTTGTTTGTCTGGGGCTTAGAAAGTAATAATTGCAAATAATGTCAAGAAACTAGCAGGCCCCAGTATTGATGGTGGGCTGCATTTGCCTTAGTTTTGAAGCTTAGCTGAAATGCATACTTACTTGTTGCTATTATTGTGCACGCTTTGTATAACTTCAAAGCGGTTGTTTTTTAAAACATTGTTAGATTAAGATGTTTGCTTAAGAATAAACTGTGTTCATGTCAAACATTATGATGTTGACCTCCTAATTTCCTTCTTCATATTTCAAAAATTAGCATTTCAGTACAGATTTTATAGTGCTAGTCACAGTTAAATATTAAACACCCTATGTATAGAATCTACACCTTTTGAAATTCCTCAGAAAGAAATTTGTACACATACAACAGAATGACAAAATGACTGTCATGATGCAAGAGCCACCCTATGCGTTCTTGCATGTGATTCAAGTACAAAAATGGATGTCACTATGCATGTGTCATAATTTGCCACTCCTTTATATACAAACAGCTGAAGAAAATTCTAATGTCAAATGTCAAATTGGTTGCTCCGGTTCATTCCAAATTCTCATTGTGATATTACATTACAAAACTACAGGACAAGAAACAAACACTATTCTTTTTTTAAATATTATTGCTGGAATAAACTCAAACTATGAACCAGATGACAAATATTGCCACTATTGTTTATATACAGACTACCGATTGCTATTCTGAGTTCCTCTTCTAACTCATTTTGTATCAACCTTATTTAGTTTATTTGAGTAAAATAAAGCTAGTATGCAAATTCAGTTTTTTTAATTACTCTTCTTCCAGTATCTGTCTTCATATGCATCTTCTATAATAGGAGACCAACGTGCAGTGTGGTATTTTTATACTTGTTTCAACTTTTGAATACAGACAAAATGATGCCTGACATATGTTTTCTACTCTAATTCATAGTTCCTTGCTTTTTGGCCATTCTGGTGATCAGAGTTAGTAAGAGTTAAAATACAGGATATCTGGAAAGTACTAAATGACCTGCTCTGCATTAGGAGATTACAATATTGTTGACTGAAAAGCCAGGAAACATTTTGCTTCTAGCTCCAAACATAACAAGGCCAATGTCCTTCTTTTCTTTAAAAATGCCTTAGCAACTTTATAAAACTTTATATAACAATATGCAGTTTATTTTAAAGTATTTACTATTCTTTCCTCTGGTAATTTAATTTAATTGAAATGAAATTGGATACTGACTCTACCAGCTCATTCCTAGTACTCTTTTTATAATATCATATATCAAAACTGTCACAGGGTATCTGAATGCAGACAATTGCAAGATAGTTGGCATTTATGAAATAGAAACAAACCAGAGCTTCCCAATTCTTTTCATACTTTAGATTAGGGGGAAAATTATAGCTTAGATACAGTAGTTTACATATATCTTGGAAATTAAAGTTTCAAAATTAATCAGGACATAGTTGTAATAAACTGCAAGAAATTGAGCAAATATTAATACTTTTTAAATTAGGCCTGAATGGTAGCTTTCTTGAAAGCCTGCTTGTTATGAAGAAAAATAACTGGGTTGGTAATTTTGTTGAAATCAGAATATTAAGAATGTTGTTTGTGCCTTGTTTGTAGGAAGGCGGTGGCTCAGTGGCTAAAACGCTGAGCTTGTCGATCAGAAAGGTTGGCAGTTTGGTGGTTTGAATCCCTAGCGCTGCATAATGGAGTGAGCTCCTGTTACTTGTCCCAGCTTCTGCTGGGACAAGTAACGGAAAGCATGTAAAAAATGCAAGTAGAAAAATAGGAACCAACTTCAAAAGCATGTTATAAAGAATGTAAAAAATTCATGTAAAAAAATAGGAACCACCTTTGGTGGGAAGGTAACAGCGTTCTGTGCACCTTCAGCGTTTAGTTATGCTGGCCACATGACCACAGAGACGTCTTCAGACAGTGCTGTCTCTTTGGCTTTGAAACGGAGATGAGCACTGCCCCTAGAGTCGGGAACGACTAGCTCATATGTGCGAGGGGAACCTTTACCTTCACCTTGTGCCTTGAACTTTACTGTTTTGTTTTGAAAATAGAAATATCTATCATCTATCTGAACTAAACTTCAACTGAAACAAGATTAATTTTACGATATTATTTGCAATATATTTTATGTTAAAATTAAACACTTTCTGATAAGTTATTTCAAGAAAAGTTTAACATATAAACTTACTCAAATCTGTTCAGAAACAAATTCTATTACATGTTGTTATTAGATATACTAAACTATGTTGACTGAGAAAAAATGTATAACAATAGTGGTTTTTGTAGATCTAAATGAGTAGCTATTACAAATAGATGCTGTGATTATTTTTTTTATAGAAGTTGCCCATAATGTGTCATTTCCCTTTTTTTATTTTACATAGGCTTTCTATACATATGGATGATGAACTTCGGCACATTGCTCAAAATTCACTTCAGGGTCTATTAGTTGATTTTGTTGATTGGCGAGAGGATGTTCTTTTTGGTTTCACAAATTTTTTGTTGCGTGAAGTGAATGATGTGCATAATAGCCTCTTGGACACATCTTTAAAATTATTGTTACAGTTGCTAACACAATGGAAGCTTACAATACAAACTTCTGGGAAGACCAACGAACAGACAAAAGTCCGATCTTCAGAGGTAAGATTCTAAAAGTAAAGATAACGCTGTCTTCTTAACATGTTCTTTCACTTTATCGAATTGGAGTACCCGTTCTAAATTTGGCAGACGTGTTTTTTCAGCAAGTATAGTAGCCTCCTACCATGTTTCCCCGAAGTTATGACATCTCCTAACAATAAGACCATGCCATTTTTTTCCTGTGAGCAAAAATATATGCCATCCCCCAATAATAAGCCCCCTAGACATCCCCCCCCCAGCCAGGCAGAGTGCCACTCACCAACCTAACGATATCCCGAAGGCGCAAAGCCGCAGGAGCCAGGGGGAGGGAGGCAAATGCACTCACATTGCTTGACACCTTTGGGATACCGCTAGGTTGGTGGGTGGCGCTGTGCCCAGCTGGAGCAGGGGGTTGCTGGGTGGCTGCTCTCACACGCAGCCATCCGGCAATGCCCCTTTCCAGCCGGGCAGAGTGCCACTCGCCAACCCAGTTGGTGCTAAGGCGCTAAGCTGTGTGGCGCTCTGCCTGGCTGGAAAGAGAGGTGGTTCAAGCACTTGTTCTGCCTCCAGCTCGGATGCCTCCCTGCCTCACCATGCCCAACTCTCCCTGCAGGAGAGTCTCTGAAAGTCTTCCCGCAGCCAGCCCACAACCATGGAGCGTAGTCCCAGAGCGGCTGCTGCCGGAAGACTCGGCAGCGAATCTCCGGAGTTTGGAAGCCGGTTATGCTCAGAGCATGGTGATGGCAGCAGCAGAGTGGCGGCGGCAGCAGTGGGGCGGCGGCACCCTGGCCTAGCCCTGCAGGGAGAGTTGGGCATGGTGAGGCAGGGAGGCACGCGAGCTGGAGGTAGAACAAGTGCTCGCGCAACCTCTCTTTCCAGCTGGGCAGAGCTCCATGCGGCTTAGCGCCTTTGGGATATTACTGGGTTGGTGAGTGGTGCTCTGCCCGGCTGGAAAGGGGCATTGCCGGGCGGCTGCTCATGAGCGTGATCACCTCATGGCGGCTTTGTTGCGCTACTGCGAAAATGCAACACAGCCATTTGCCCCTGAGGCTGTGCCCGGCTCTTCAGGCACCCAATCGCAAGCAAAATTGGGGGGGTGGGGGTGGCAAAAGAAAATAAGACCCGGTCTTATTTTTGGGGAAACATGTTACATACATACTTTCTAGGGAGCAAGTCCACAAAAATTTCATGTAGAATTCCAACCTCCCTGAGAATGTCTACAGATTTCATCACCATATAAAAAGGACAGAAAAGATGCTTAAAGCAGTCAGTTTGTGATCAAGCTAAGATATGCTCAAATCCTACTAACAGCTAAATGAAAGAGAAAAATACTTATATCATATGTATCTAACATGGGAGGAAATATCTATTCCATATTTTATAACTATACTATGTTATGCACACGAAGGATGGCATCGTATTTATATTTAATAATGATATATTTTAATATAATTAATGAACCTCATGCTTTCCATGCATTGTTCATCATAGTTAACTACAAAAGGACCTTATTGTGTATCAGTAGAAGAAGAAAGAACTCTTTCCTTTCTCTCAGGAGACTGGGGAGGCTCCGCCTCCCTTGCCTCTAGTGACTGCACGTCCCTGTGTGCGCCACAGGGTAATCAAATCAAAATCTGTATTACAGCCATAGACCAGTATAACACAGGGTAATGCTTTTGAAGAATAACAATGAAAAGTAGTTATTACTTCAGTGAACAGGGAAACATACAAGTCAGTGCCTTTTAGTTTCCATTTCAAATTTTACAGTTCAGATTATATATTTTTCTAAATTAGAACAGTCTAAAGACTAAAACTTGAAATATATTTGGATGAGTTAATAAATGCTTTATATTGCAGTTGATAGCAAATGGATCCGGTCAAAGGACCCAGACTGAACGAAGTTCTTATTCAAATGTACTGCATGCTGTTGAAGGTTTCGCACTGGTATTACTCTGCAGTTTCCAAGTTGCCACACGTAAACTGGCAGTTTTGATTCTCAGAGAGGTCCGTGCTTTATTTCATGCACTAGGACAAGCAGAGGTATGGCTTTCTTGACTGTATCATGACTTTCACTTTCCCCAACAATGAAATTTCGCTTTATCAGTTCGGGCTGAAATTTAGTGCAAGTTTACTTAAAAATTAATTACTACCAAGATCAATAACCAATACATTTTGCTTTTAGTTTCCCTTAGTTTTCATCACTGTTGTGGATGTGAGAGTTAGTGAGTGCCAAATCAGCTGTGACAGCAAAAGATATGTGATTTATATTTAGAGTTCTAAAAATATAAACTATGGCTACAGAAAGTTCAGATTAGGACCACATGGCAGGGCAAGGAGGTTAGTTGTTTCTATATGCATTACATTTCTGATCAAGATTAATTTCTTAAAAGCTGCTATTTAACCCCAGCAGTGAAAATGTGCAAGTATCATATGGATATCAATTCCATGGGGTCTCTGAATATTGCAATTTAAGTTAGTTTAATTTTATTCATTTAATTTGTGGTTAAAGAAAAAAAAATATTGAATAACACATCAGAGAACATTAAAACCTATTATAAACACCAAAAGTTTTCCCAAACTGTTTACATTAAAGTATTGAGGTTTCTAAAATGAGTATCTGATAATAAAAATAATGGCAATAAATACTACAAATTTTCCAGAAGTATCTGTCAGTTAAGAGTAGTTTCTTGCAGCTTTGGAACTGCAAGAAAATGAGTTAGGAGATGGGTTGTTAAGCCAACTTGCTATCATGAAGAAGAGGTAACATACAGGAGGGGCTATTTTTGTTTCTTTTTATAAGTTGGAGCTGAATCTGTTTTTGCAGAGATATTATTGAAGCTACCTTTGAACAGTGAGAATACCAAAGCTATACGGCAGGCTTTGAAATAGATTTTATTCCCTAACGAGAAGGCCTTTTTCAATCTTAATAAGGAACTACACAAGTTTAAAGGTGACTTGCTCACTGCTTGAAACCCTCTTTCCTGCTTCTCATTGTCTATTTTACCCAGCTAATATTTTTTTCAGGCCCAGAAAAATAGTTTAATATTGATTTTTGAACTGAGTTGATTTTGAGCAAGGGGCATTGGTATTAAGACATATTAAGACCAAGTCACCAAATGTCCCTTCCTGGTATGAGATGTAAAAATATTTCTGCAAACATACTTTGCAGTTAATATTTTTATAACATGACATCGGGAAAAACCAGATGGCAATGTGGTCTTAAGACAGTAGAGCAGAGTTTCTCAACCTTTGCAATTTAAATTATAGTTCAATCCCTGTTAGCTAGGGAATTGTGAGAGTTGAACTTAACCTATTCTAAAGTTGCCAAAGTTGAGAAACATCAGAATAAAGAGTATTAATACCTATTTGTCAACTATAAAATCATAGAGATTATATTCCTAGTTTGTAACCCTACATTACAAGAGTTGTAGTGGCGCAGTGGTTAGAATGCAGTACTGCAGGCTACTTCTGCTGCCTGCCGGCTGCCTACAATTTAGTAATTCAAACCTCACCAGCTCAAGGTTGACTCAGCCTTCCATCCTTCCAAAGTCAGTAAAATGAGGACCCAAATTGTTGGGGGCCATATGCTGACTCTGTAAACCACTTAGGGCTGTAAAGCACTGTAAAGTGGTATATAGGCCTAAGTGCTATCGCTATTAATTATTAAAGAAGATTTAAAATATTCTAGCTTTATGCCATTGGGATTCTTAGAAAAAAGTAATCTATTTTTTCAGACGATTAGGTTATATTGACGTAAGTCATATAGAATCTGGTAAATACAGAATGTCACATTGCTATGATTATGGTATTAATTGGTACCAAATTTATAACTGTTGAAACTTCTGAAAGGGAGTATTTTAACATATTTGATCAAATCACATGTGATTTAGTATGTAATTACTGGGTATGGTATCTCTTTTACTTTTATCACTTGCAGAGACATGAATAAAATTCAACAAACAAGGTAGGGCGGTTTATTTCTTTTCTTCCCAGCATTACTGGAATAGCTGGAATTCATAAGGAAAAGCTTCAGTTTCTGCCAACGGAATGTTTTCTTAAACATTCTAGCTTCTCATAATGCAATTCCAAATGCTCTGGGAAAGTAGAGATAAACTTAACTACCACATTCTTTCTAGAGAATACACGCATAAAAGTACGTGCTTGCTAAAATTGTAAATAAAGTGATAGCGTTTTGCCCTAAAATAACTGCTTACTTACTTTTGATAAATTTGATAATTCTTAATATAAGTATAATATATTGAGTCACTTTTTTCTGTAAGAGATTACAATTATTCATCTTTTACCTTACAAAATTCTCCCCCCATCGAGTATATGTGGTTGTGGATGTTTCCACATCAGAGGGAGAGGGGGAGAGAGAGATCATTTCCACACATGCAATTAATTATTGCTACTTTCATGTGTACAGGATGATGATAGACCTATGATTGATGTTATGGACCAGCTAAGTTCTTCTATTCTAGAAAGTTTTATTCACGTGGCTGTTTCTGACTCAGTAAGTAATTCCTCATCATTAACAATATACAAATGCCAAATAAACATTGTAGCCTGCAATTATTGTTGTATAGATTTTTCCATTTTTAGCAGAAAATCAATCATCTAATAACAATTTTAACTACAGGTAGTCTTTGATGTACAATCAGTTGCTTAATTATCATTTTATGACATATTTGCAAAAAGCCATTTATAACCAACCTTCGAAGTTATGATTGTCACACCACCAGCTCTGCAGTCATTTGATTACATTTTGAGCTCTTGGCAACTGACGCCGTTATGACCAGTTGCTTTGGTTCTTAGTTACGTAACTATGATGGGACTTTTTGCTGTTTTCTGGCAAAAAAAACAGCAATGTTGAATATGCTGGATTCACTTAACAGCAATGATGATTTGTTGTGACCATTAAAAAATTTATAAAATCAAGTCCAGTCATATGGTGCCTTGACTTATGTCCACAACCTATGACCAAAATTCCAGCTCCATTGTGGTTGTAAGTTAAGAATTATCTGTATCAAGAGACTTCCATAGAACGAGGTTTCAGCTCCATTATCTACTAGGTTTATGCTGCTAATTTAATGCACTTCATCTTCCATTAGAGCATACTGTCGGTTTATTGGATTAATATAAATGCACAGAGCTTGAGTAAGTTAACCAAGTAAATGAACTAAGAAACAAATTCCTTGAGTGGATTTTGATGAAGACAAACTGTTCTGTATCTGAATGCTGAAGAAACAACGGCAATAAACAGAGAACATTTGGTTACTTAAATAAGAAATATGTAAATAAATCAGGAATGGAATGCTGAATCAGCAAAATGTAATATCAGTTCTGTATATGTTAGAGAATCCATCCCAGTAGAGAAAGCCTCATCATCAGACATGAGGCCTGGATATCTAGCAGAGTTTTGTACCAAAGAAAATATGAAAAGTAGATTATTTTCTGAGATATCGTTCTTTTCATTTCTTTTCACAGACAACGTTACCACTAACATATAATGTGGATTTGCAGTGGCTGGTAGAATGGAATGCAGTACTTGTTAATAGCCATTATGATGTAAAAAGCCCATCCCATGTCTGGATATTTGCACAGTCGGTCAAAGATCCTTGGGTTCTCTGCCTTTTCAGTTTTCTTAGGCAAGAGAATTTACCAAAGCATTGTCCTACAGCTCTTAACTATGCTTGGCCTTATGCATTTACAAGGCTACAGCTAGTGATGCCTTTGGTTGATCCAAAGTAAGTTCTGTTAATGTTACCTATTAATATTACCTGTTTTCAAACTTAGGTGTATTTATTTATTTATTTTTGAACCACCTCTGAGAAGTTATTATGTTAGATATATTTGATTACTTTTTAAAGAATAAACCTAACAGTTCAAGGATGTATGAGAATTATATGTTTGTAAACAATAATTATATTTTAAGTCTTCTGCATGATTTAATTAAAGTATTGCAGCTGGACATCAAGCACTTTAAAAAAAAATTCTTTGTCTCCCCTGATCTCTACATCTCTTGATTTTACATGTGGGTGAATTTCATTATTAGCATGTCATAGATCAAGTAACAAATTTAAAATTAACAATTTAAAAAACCAAATTGAAGAATGTTCTGTTGCTGTACCCACTATTAGATATATTGGAAAATATTCTTTATAGATCAGGTCTATATAAAATGCTAAGCCAAGTTATTTCTTTTGTGTTATGCTTAGTGTGATATGACTCATTCAGTAAAGTGTGGCTCAATGATATGAGGCTAGTTACTAAGTTAGACGATAGGTTTATCTTGTTTACTATTAACCTGCTGTTACTCTCTAAGATTTCAGAATGAAATATCTCGTTTGCTATTGATTCAATCTCTTAAATGAATTTTATTTTATAACTGGATGAGTTATAAAGTGTTAATTTCCTTCTCTTTTTCTTCATGTTATTGGTATTGTAAAAAATATAGAACAAAATTATATTTAATATTTGAATTTGAAAAATGTTTATTTTAAACCATATTTCTAGTAGTCCTGTGAATGCAAAGAAAACAAGTACACCCAGCACTGGGGATCATTATGTAACTTTGTGGAGAAACTATCTGATTCTCTGCTTTGGAGTAGCTAAACCCAGCATTATGAGTCCTGGACATCTGCGTGTTTCTACACCAGAGATCATGGCTACTACGCCGGATGGTACCATTAGTTATGATAATAAGGTAATTACATATTTCAGTAAAATAATTTATAATGTGACTAAAATGTTTATAGTTGTTATACAGTTTTGCACAATGTCCTCAAACTGTTCGTACATATAATATACTGTTTCCTGCAGATTTTAAAGTGGTGTCAGGAGTGGGCTTCAAAAATTTCAGCAATGGGTTCTCTGCCCAGTTGCTGGGTGGGCGTGGCCATGATGGGTGTGGCCTAGTCAGCCTCCTGCACCTTGGCGTAGGGGCCATTTTCACTTTCCGCAGTCGCCGGAGGCTTTCCTTGAGCCCCTGGGAGGGCAAAAACTGCCTCCCTTGGGCTCCGGAGGCCTTCTGGGAGGCCCGTTTTCCACCCTCCCTGAGCCTCCACCTAGCCCCTGCACTTACTTGCATCCAAAATGGGCCAAATGGAGACTCAGGGAAGGGGAGGTGTGAGCAGGGCCAGCCATGGGTGGGATTTGGAAGTTTTCCAAATCAGCCATAACATTAGCTACGGCTTCTCCTGAACCTGGACGAATCTGTAGCAGCCCACCCCTGGAGGTGCTGCAGTATATGCACCAAGCAAACTTGTAATTACTAATCAGTTGTTAGGATATAATTTTGGAAAAAAAGGAATTGAAGAAGACAATTACAGATATGTAATTGTGTTTATTTTTATTGTTTCTGCACTAAAATGTTTGGGTAGTGCTATGCTGTGGGAAGAAAGAGTGTAACAGATCTGAATGGATTCCTCCAGAAAAGTTAAACTATCTTCTGCAGTCTCACAATTGTCCACCAGCAGTAAGGCACTGCTAATACTATCTTTTTCAAGCACCTTCAAATGTTTTGCTCAGTTCATCGTTATTTCCCAGGCCAGTGTATTGTTTTTATCTAGTTAGTTTTGGTACTCTATGTTATAGTCCATTGTTAGCTCAGGAGTGGGGCAAGATATAAAAGTATGAAAACAAACAATGAATGAATGGGCTAGTCTTTCCCTCTTTGACTATTAATTTGCTTTGTAAGCCATTCTGTTGGCAGGAGACAAGTATGAAAATATCATTCCATTTGCTTTTAGGATTATCTTTTTCCGCCAATTACATTTTTGTCTCTGAAATGCACCAGCCTCAGATGCTTGACCTTTGGGTAAAAGGCCTGCTTTCTTTTCGGAGTTAGCATTTGAGGTCAAGTGAAAGATCATGAAAGAGATAAATCTCTTGATAATCATTTCTGAAATAATGAATGGTGTTTTGGAATGTCTTGTTGTTCGGGTAAAGAACTTTAAATGTCCCCAACTGTGCAGCCTTTCTGTTAGATGTTCTTGTTTTGCCACCAATTTACACAATGTTTATTCTCCCCTTCTTCAGCAGATAATAAAGAATGGCAGGGTGTAGAAGGGACTCAGAAATGTATTTTCTGTATTGGGGATTTTTAAACAGTTATAATTAAGAGATTAAAGCAAAAGCATTCAGTAGTCTTGAAGAAAATAAAATTGAATCCTCTGTCTTCAGGGTAAATATCCAAACTCTATAGATCAGGCGTGAGATAAATTACCAAAATCTCCTTTTCAACTGAGAATGACTCTATTCCAAAACTATATTACCAAGCTCCACATACCATTCAGAAATGTCTTTCCAATCTCATTCTTGCAAAGATAACAGTGATATTAAACAGGAATAAATCAGACTGTATATGTTAAAGAGAAAAGTACATGTTACAATTCTGCTACTGAACTATTTTTAAACATTGCTTTAATAAATGTGCCACTTACAGTATATTATTTTATTTTCTTGGCTATTTTGAACATAATCCTGCCTTGCAAAATGTGCCTTTTAAAGATTTATTAGCAACAGTTATAACTATGCATACTTTGCTAGTCATAATTTTAAATATTTTTAATGACCATACCCATTAAACTTATTTTCACTTTATTTTAGGCTATTGGAACTCCATCTGTTGGTGTGTTATTAAAACAGCTAGTGCCTTTGATGAGACTTGAAAGCATAGAAATCACTGAATCACTTGTACTAGGCTTTGGAAGAACGAATGCTCTTGTTTTCAGGTATTTGTATGGCATGAGTTATTCATAGTCCAAATTTGCTTTAGTATTAAATGTAATAAAATGTACTATTATTGGAACACTGAATTAAATAGAAGACAGCTTTAAACAGTGTAACCATCTTGATAATAAATTTTGAAACATTAATGCATAATGCAAATAGATTATTTACTAAATAATCTATAATATGCAGAAGACTAAAAAGTAAAATTGTTATATTGCATGGTAATTATAATTAATATTTATAGTTGAGCGTTCAATCCTATATAGTGGCAGATATTTATCTCTGAGGGCGCAAAGAAAAAATATCTGCTGCGAACTTCACATAGGCATCAGGAAGGGCATCTAACCAGTAAATGCTCAGCTCTACTCAGTTGCTCCAACTCTACCCTGAATTAAGGGACTACAGAGTTGTAAAAAAAATTCTAATTAATATTTCTATTATTTTTATTTATTTATTTTCTGCACTTTTTCCTTTTTCGTTTCTATTATTCTTTACCTTGGTTGCAACTATAAACTTTAATACATTTACTATTAAAAAAGAAGCCTAGGCTACAGGCTCAGATTCCTCAATTATTGTTTAACTGGAGTTTGTTGGCCTCATCTGTTAGGATAAGTTTCAAGTTTCACCACTTATAGTTGCTCTTGTAGGAGATCTGTTAGAAACTCCACTCTCCATCTAAAGCAGAGTATTCTTGTTTTTAAGAACTTAATCATTTTGATGTGCCTTCAATATATATACACCATCACAAGGTTATTGATATGTTTTTGTGGAAATATTCAAGAATCCACGTATCTTCACAATACACCCAAAAAATAAACATGCATTTGGAGAAAGGGTATATACTCTCATAGATATTACAACTGCAATCTACTAAAGAACTTTATTTGAAAAATATTTTCTTTTTACTTTAGAGAATTAGTGGAGGAACTTCACCCTCTAATGAAAGAAGCATTGGAGAGAAGACCAGAGGTTGGTAATAAAGTTAAGCTGTAAATATTTAACAGATGGTAAATAGGATTGAAATTAATTAATAAATTATTTTGGACAAAAATATTAAATAAATTGATTTTTTTAATAAACTTTCCTTTGTAAGATATATCTGAAAATTGTGTGGGTAGTAATCAACAACAAACAGAATAATTGCAACATAAAGCATTTAATTTGTCACAATGAAAATTGCTACAAAGAAAAAAGAATTATCTATGAAAAATGTTATTGATTTGAAATTTGGTAGTGATCAGACACTGTTGGGAGATCTGTTGTCTCTTAGGCATTTCTGATTTTCAATTATTTGACAACAGAAATTAGTGTGAAGACATGCAGTGGTTGGAATGCCCACATTTCTCTCTTCCTGTCCCTTTATCCCTCTTCCTTAAAACTGTACAACCCAACTGTTTATAGAGTTTAGCTATAGCACTATGTGTGGCAACATAGAAGTCAGAAAGAGAAAGGCAAAAGAAGGATACTGAAAAAGCAGGCAAACTTGGCAGATACAGTGAGTAGAATTAACCACAGTGAGCAGCTGCTGCTACAGAATACCTGAGAAAACATTGACTGGGCCTTTTGAATGGCTTAGCTGTTGGCAATAGTTCACATGCTGGCATCTAAAAACAGCTCAAAGGCCTATCACAGCCCATTGAAAGGCATCAGTAGCCTCCTGGAAGCAACCACTTAGGTCATTAACAGTTTCTGCATTATTGCTTTCTCTGCTGGACCATAACTGATGCTTTATTTCCTCTTGTGTAAATCTATACAGATTTGCTTAGTAGCCAGCAAGATGGTTTTTATAGAAGCCCCGCACCCCCTCCCACCCCCCCCCCCCCCCCCCCCCCC